GTGTCAAAGAAATTGAGGTGATATTTACAACTTTAGATGGGTTAGAAAGGCGACCCATCATACATACCTGTGGTCCAACTGTGGAGCTTCCATCAACCTACAACAGCTTTCCTGAGTTGCGTGCAGAGCTGGAGGCTCTCTTGTCCTCCAACATCTACACAATGGACATTATATAGATTTGAAATGCCATAACTCCTAAAAATATGTACATGTGTTTACATTGTTTTTGTAAAGCTGTGATTATAAAGGAGTAAAGTAATTGCTATTATTTTGGTTAAAGGCTTGTTAGCCACTTGGATATTCCCTGGCTAGTGCATTATTTCTATTATTTGGGAAGTGTTCATGTATTTGAAAGGAATACCTTGAATGTTAAATTCAATAATTGTTACAGCAATAAGAAGTTCGCCTGTGAATGTAATGACAATATCAGGACACACGTAATTGATTTTTTTTAGTATTGATGTCATGTAAAGAAACAAAACAAATGTTTGGGACTTTTTACAGGTTCATTGTAGTCCCCTCTGCACTTTTACCTTCTTCACATGTTAAAAATAAAAAAGACACTGTTAATGTAACCAGATGATTTTAGTTGTTAATGCAGTTACATGGAGTGTCCAGCAGGGGGAGACGCTCTTGAGCTTCACCTAGGCTACGTCTTTCCTCTAGTGATGTAAAGTTCGATTCATTTTACTGACTCGAGTTAAAGTGAATCACTCACCAAAGTGAATCGGGTGTTTTGAGTCATTTGATTCAGTGATTCAGTTGTTCAGAAAAAAACATACATGAACACAAAATAATGCTAAAATGGCAATTTACAATCAAAACATTTATTAAAATTTGATAAATGGTAACAATAACAAATATGTAAACTAATTTGACAAAATATAAACTCTTTAAATTTAACAATTCAACAGTAAAATTGTGAACAAAGCAGCAACAACATTCCAAGCGAGGGGCTGTCACAATACAAGAAATACAATAACAATGCTGGCTAAATGCCGTCTCATATTTGATGTGGTCCCTCCTTGAAATGATAAAACAACCTTGCAGAGTTGACATTTTGCTCGTGATGGGCCTGTTATTTCAAAGTGCATCCAAATATCGCTTCTTCTGCGGCTACTATCCATTTTCTATAAAAATATTTAAAACTTTCCGCCAAAAATGTGGTGTTACATAAATGTATTCCGTGTTAAAACCTACATTCCTGGTAAAAAAAAAAAAGGTCATAACAATTATATTATATAAATAATAAATACAAACAACTTTGATATGTTTCACACATTCATTTTTTATTGATGACAATCATTGTAACGCCAATAATGTTCGAGGCGGAACTCCTGTTGTCCGACGAGAGAAACACAGCTGAACAAATAACTTAATAAATAGCCAATTATATTTTTCAATCTACCTCACATAATACATGTAGAGGGTTATTATTTTTTGTCAGATGGGGCAAAAGAAACTACTTTTTTCAACCCAGTTAGAGAACGAGAGTTACGAGACGAGTCGGTGTCCTGTCCTGTTGTTTCGACTCGCTTGATGCTGAGTGAGTGAGTCAGATCAGATGAACGATTCGTTCAGAGCTGAACGACTCGAAGGGGAGCGGGAAGGGGCTGATCCAGAACCACAGTGAGTCGTTCACTGCTCGTACGGCTCGTACTAGCAGGCGCGGGCAGGAAGGAGGACGTTACGGTGAAGTAGATGGTTGTAAACAATAAGCTTTTGGTTACACACACACAGTCACACACGTAATATTAGAGTGTCATTCATTGTGGCTAGTAGAAAACGCAGTCTTGGGGTCGCAGTTTAGAAAGTGGTGGGCGGACGAGTTAGTGAACGAGTTAATGGAGGCGGGGAATCACGACTCCCGAGTCAGTAAAGTGAATCTCGAGTTTTGAACGATTCGTTCACGAATCGCACATCACTACTTTCCTCATTCATAAACCAGCAAGGCTTGAGGAAAGACGTGTCCTGGTCTTATTTTTATTTTATCCCCTTTTCAGGTATGGTATGATATGCAGAATGTCATAAACCAGTCATAATTGTTTTATATTGAGTCAATGTATCTGTGAACCGAATCCAGTGTGATAATTTAGTCTAGTAGGCTGTTGTTTTCAAGGAGCTCCGCTAGTTGCTAACCAAATTAGCATTAGCTTCTCGTTGCTAGCGCGGGAACAGTGGAAATCGTTGAATGTTAATTTAAATGTGTTCAAATGTTAGAAAGATTGTTTTCCTCATTCATAAACCAGCAACGCTTGAGGAAAGACGTGTCCTGGTCTTATTTTTATTTTATCCCCTTTTCAAGGCTATTACATTTACACTGTCTTGTAAAAAACATGTGTCCATGTTGAAGTTAATGGTGAGGCATTTTGCAGGTTTTCTTTATCAAATGTGGATATAAATGTAAGCACGTAAAAACCTGTAAAGCTCAATAGATTCCTCTGCTGTTGTGGGTGGTTTAAGATTGTTGTCTGCCATGGCATATGTGAGATTTCATAACACTTTTAAGCAACTTTTGTTAAAGTTAAACTCATCATTCTATCAATGTGCAGAAGCCTGTACTTTTCCCATGTTGTGTCTATCTGAAGGCCAAGCGACATGGCACTGTGGCAGCTGCTGATTGGAGGTCTCCATGCCAACGCTCTGTATAATACACTAGCATTCTGTTGTATCTGTTGTTCGTGCTGTCTCTACCATCGACAATAAAACATGTCTTCTGTCTGAATTAAAGACGCGATCCCAGACATGTCATCTTCTTCACATAGCAACAAATGTCAAATACTGTTTTATCACATGGTAATGGGCCTCTCTGGAGGCACTCTTCTTGGCAGGCCTGGATCTTTTCATGGGAAACGGCTTTAAGGTGTTCTCTTGCACCATACAGATGAGGTAGAGTGTACATCATCACAGGACGTCCTGCTGGAGCTGCTGCATGCCTGGATCAACGAATTCTGTGGGTATTCCAGAGGTGGACAATCTCCTGCAGCTCCTTCTACAAATATAAAATGTTTGTATGGGCAGTTATGATAAAAGCAACACATTGCAAACTTCACTTATTCATATTTCGTTTTGATCTTAACTAAATTAAACATAACTATCCCATAACATAAGAGAAAGGAATTAGATTTATTTATAATAATAATGCATCGGTTTTATATAGTGCTTTTCTGGACACTCAAAGACGCTTTACATGTCATTATTCATTCACTCCATACACGGTGGTGATATACTAGTGTAGCCACAGCTGCCCTGGGGCACACTGACAGAAGCGAGGCAACCAGTCTGTCATCAGTGCCTCCGACCACCACCATTGATCAAGTATCATCTTAATTTCACTATGCACCTTATATGTATGGATGATTTTGAGTGCCACAATTAAATACTCATGAAATAATTTGTTGTAAATACATACAATTTTAAATAGACAATTGAATGTACTAATAATTAACTATTTATGGTGTCACTCCGACTATATGAGGTGGCAGAAATTGTTTTTGTAGAAATACATTTCAGTAGTCTTTACTGATTGAATTGTATGTCATTTCTAACAAATATTCTCTCAAGTATGTAAAGCTCATTGAATCAGTGAGTTGCATGTAATGATTTATCAGATCCACCAGGCGTCAGTATAGAGCAGCACAAGCAACACCGTTGGCACAGTATCAATACAGTGCGTTTGATGTGCCGAAACGATACTGAGGTTTCATTTACCCATCACTAGTTTTCACTCACCGAGATAACTTTGTTTTGTAACAGATGTTGTCTAAGTTTCTATATTTTTTCAACCTCGAGGATATGTTTCGTTTTCTAAATCAATCTCAAATCTTAATATATATTTCTACTCTGGGTCACGTTTTTCAGGCTTTTGCTTATGTGCTCTAAAACAAGATGGATGCCAGTGAACAGCAGAAGAAAAATGTTTTTTGGTGCGCTGCCACCTAGTGGCGAACTAGATATTGCACTTTACTTTAGTTATAAATGTTTGCATTACAGTTCGGTTCAGGACTTTATTGAGGGCAAAATTGACAGGGTTACATTTACATTGAATCTATTTATTTGCTGATAGAACTGCAGTCGGTAGATTCTCATAAAGAGTGAAAATACCTTTTTCTTTCTAACACTAGAACTCCCAGAGCAGTCAATTTGAAGGCATTTTGTTTTTGGTCTTCAAAACTTTTCTTGCAGCTACATGTGGATTATTTTAATGTAACTTTTGTTGAAAATGAAATGATCTGGTTCCTGGCCTAGTTCAGAGCAGTCTGTTTTTCACTTGGATTTGAATTCTAAAAGCAAAAACTCAAAAATGATGTATTAAAAAAACTAAAATATCACTGTGTGGTGGAAAACACATGCCCAGTGTCCGACCTGGTGGGGGCAGCATCGTGCTGTGGGTAATTATCACAGTGTTAATGACTTTCACTGTACAGAATAAATCTGGCAATCACTCTGCAGGACGTCATTACAAAAGTATTTTATTGTGGTTGAAAATTGAAAAACAAACACATTTTGACAATAAAATTACGCCATTTGATTCACACTTTTTACAAAACCCAGATCAATGTTTACAGTTTTCAGACGCATAGTTCATGACAACAATTATACCACACTTATGTCATAACTCCAATAGTTTTAGACAGTTAGAAAAAACAAATATTTTAATGAAATGTCACTTTCAAAAAGGAATCAGAGAGTTTCAAGTACAACAATTACTGACCCGTTAATAATTACTGTTTTACTATGAGATTTACAAAAAAAATCACATTCTTACTGCTAATAGCTGTTTGTGCAATACTTTGAAGTAAGGTTTGAATGTGCAATATAGAACCACACATGTCCGCTGTCACTGTGTCCCAAAGCCTCAGATTTTAGACTTATTTTCTTGTTATGCTAAAGCCAGAGGTTTTATACTTGCTTCTTGATTGTGTTAGAGTTAGAGATTTATATTTGAATAAAGAATCACTTAATCTTAATCTAAATCAAAATTCATTGCTTTTATGGAGCTAGACCAGCGGCACATCTTCCGGCTGAATCTTGATCTCGTACTTATTGGCCGTGGCAAAGTAGGGGAACACCTTCTTGTCGCTGATTTGTGCGAACGAGTGGATGCAAGCGCCCGAATCTGCGTCGTAGAAGCTCAGCTCTCGCCGGTCGCAGTCCAGGCAGACCCGGATCCTCACCGGGTTGGAGTCCAGCTGCAGAGACTTCAGGTTTTTCTCGCTCAAGACGGCCGCGTACTCGTCGTCTGAGAAAGCCACGCTCCATCCTTCGGCTCCGTCCTTCTCCAGCGAATCGGTCAGGACTCCCAGCGCCCACTCTGCGCTGTTCCCCACCTCCACTCCCCAACTTCTGCACCCGCGATCGAAGCCCTCGGAGCCCATCACCAAAGCCCAGTTGACGTCTTTTTCCCCGGGATTTCTTTGGTTCCCACTGGTGAAACTGGTCAGATCTTCAGACAAGATGATTTCCGTGGTGGACTTGTTTGGGTCTAGAATGACGGGAGAATACCGCGCCAATGTCTTCATGCTGCTCCATATGTTGTAGACCAAGTTGCCCAGATGTTTGGCCTGGTCGATCAGAGCGTCTGGACCTAGCTCAGGTTCGTCCAACAGTTGGCATCGCTGGACTCTTTCCACTGTTGTTTTGTATTTGAGCAGGAAGGAGACGTCGGAGGTTGCGATTTGCTGCTCCGTCGTTCTGATGGTCTCTGACAGAAGTTCGATCTCTCTGCTCACCACCACCATCTTCTCCTTCATGCTCTGGATCTTCTGCTCCTCTTCCTCAGTCAGAACCCTCAGCCGAGCTTCTTCTTCGTCGTACAGAAACTGGTGCAGTTTGATGAATTGGTCCTGGATCTGTCTCTTGGTTTGGTACGACTGTTGTTGGATGCAGTCTGCGGTTGTCAAGAGCCCCTGTTGCACATCTTTTATCTTCTTGAAGTCTTCTTTTAAAGGAAGTATGGACTGGGCCAGCTGCTCTCTGAGATCCTGGGCTGCTTCTGCTATGGGCGTGAAGTGGTAGTCTTGGAACTCCAGACAGGCACTCTTCTGGTCAGAGAGACTGGACAGTGTCTCGGAGTCCTGGCTGTCAAGGGATTCTTCAGAGCCCCAGTGGCTGCTAGACTCACCGAATGTGTGTGGGCGATAGGACAGGGGCCCTTCTAGTTTGAAAGCCATCATTCTTCAACAGAAACAAAGCAAACTGCTCAGAGGGTAAGCAGGTTTGGTGGAGCTCTCTTCTCTGATGAAAAGCTTGTTGGCTTCTGACTCCAACCACGCTGAGGAGTGCCTTATATACACCTTATGTAGCGCTAGGTATTTCCCAGTAAGGGAGGAAGTGTGTTACATAACCATTTTTGATGGGTGTTATATAAAAAATGTTTAGGGAGGGTCGGAAATCTTTTATTTTCCATATAGTCATTGATTTGGAATGTTGACTGTGAAAGAAACAAGAGTTTATCTATGAATACACTTTATATTTATTATATCTTTTTGTTAAAGCCAAACTGACCCTAAATGAAAAAATAACACATTTTTATGGGAAAAACAAATACTGAGCCTCTACCTGAAAAACAATGCACCTTAAATTAAGATAGCATCTGTTGCATAACGTTTCTATCACTGAATGATGATTGGAAATTTGACATTCCAGAGATTCATCATGTATATGTATGTATGTTTACATTATAACACAAACAGAGTCTGGTCTAACCCCAAATCATGACCAACATTTATCATTCATCAACACTCAGGGACATTGGTCTCTCCCTATGGACCAGTACCTATTTGTTCTATATTTTGTGTCTTAACTGTTAATTCTCTGATCTGTGTTGGTGATTTCAATGGTTTTGTTAAGTCTCTGAGATGATGCTGTTGTGTTTTAGGAAAATACAAGAATAAGTTGTATTGTATTGTAAATTCGGTCTAACACTTGGATCAGGATCAGAGTCCGGTCTAAATTGCCATAGTACCATAGTATCTGACTTGGACTCAGACTTTCGAGCCCACCTCAGTGATGAATAAATACTTTATTGATCCCTGAAGGAGAAATGTAGGTGTCCAGGAGCAGCAAAAACACATCCATCCACACAAACAAAATAAATAAATTGATTATTCTAAAAAGCTACAGTAACTTCAGTTCACATTTGAACCTAGGACCTTCTTGCTGAGATGCGAGAGTGCTATCCACTCAGCCACCGTGCCGCCCATAGAGTCAGCTTTATGAAACAGCCTCCTTGTTTCAAATCAGCAGGTTATGTAAACACATACAGTATGTAAAACATTTTCACAGGAAATATAAATATTGAGCCTCTACCCAATAAACGTGCACCTTCCATAAAGATGGAATCTGTTGCATAACGTCGCTGTCATCACTAAATGATGATTAGACGTTTGACATTCCAGAACTGCATCATGTAGAGGCTGCCAACTCATCCACCTTCCTGTACCGGCTTCTTATAACTGTTATGACACAATCAGAGTCTGGTCTAACCCTGGACCAGGATCAGAGTCTGGTCTAACCCTGGACCAGGATCAGAGTCCGGTCTAACCCTGGACCAGGATCAGAGTCCGGTCAAACCCTGGACCAGGATCAGAGTCCGGTCTAACCCTGGACCAGGATCAGAGTCCGGTCTAACCCTGGACCAGGATCAGAGTCCGGTCTAACCCTGGACCAGGATCAGAGTCCGGTCTAACCCTGGACCAGGATCAGAGTCCGGTCAAACCCTGGACCAGGATCAGAGTCCGGTCTAACCCTGGACCAGGATCAGAGTCTGGTCTAACCCTGGACCAGGATCAGAGTCCGGTCTAAGGCTGCAGTCACAATCAGAATCAGAATCATTGCCATGTGAGCAACAGGAAGTCACAAACGAGGAAATTGCTTTGGCTCTCGGTGCAAACAAGTAAAATCAAGAAGGCACAAATAAAAATCTACATACATATCTTCAGTTTCCTATATACAAGTGCACTAGGGGCACACGATAGACCCTTAAGAGTGCGGTAGAGTGCAGTAAAGTGCCGGTCATAAGGTCAGAGGTCAGATGTCAGTGGTGGCTTATGAAGTGTTCAAGAGTCCAACAGCAGAGGGGAAGAAACTGTTCTTGTGGCGGGAGGTTCTAGTCCTGATGGACCGCAGCCTCCTGCCTGAGGGGAGTGGTTGGAATAGTCCACGTGCAGATGAGAGGGGTCGGCTGTGATACGACCAGCCCGGCCTCGATTACCTTCTCTGCAGAGCGCACAAAGTCTCTGCAGAGCGCACGATGCGCTGTTGTCTCTGCTTGTCCCTGACTGTGGCTCCAGCGAACCATACGGTGATGGAGGAGGTGATGGAGGAGGTGAGGATGGACTCGATGATGGCCGTGTAGAACTGCACCAACATCTGTGCAGGCAGCTTGGCGTTCCTGAGCTGCCGCAGGAAGTACATCCTCTGCTGGGCCTTCTTGATGAGGGAGCTGATGGTCGGCTCCCACTTGAGGTCCTGGGTGATGGTGGTGCCCAGGAAACGGAAGGACTCCACAGAGGTGATGGGGGAGTCCATCACGGAGGGCGGCAGCCGGTCCACCTGCTCCCGTAGGAGACACCAGGACACCAGCCGGTCCACCTCCCTCCTGTAGGCGGACTCATCGTTGTTGGAGATGAGTCCAATGAGGGTGGTGTCGTCCGCAAACTTGATCAGCTTCACGGAGTCGTGGCTGGAGGTGCAGTGGTTGGTGTACAGGGAGAAGAGCAGGGGAGAAAGAACACAGCCCTGTGGGGCTCTTGTATTGTAACCAGGAAGACAAACTGAAACTTAACATGGACCTAGAGGTAGTCGCTGAAGTTAGCATCAGCGCCACCTGCTGGACCAAAGTCGACCGCATCCTGTCCTGCTCCAGCGGTGACTCCACTTCTGCTGCTGTGACCTGAAATGCTGTTGCATTTTATTATTACTATTGTTAGCTTTTTAGAATGATCAATTATTTTTGTTTGTTTGGGTGGATGTGTTTCTGCTGCTACTGGACGTGAATTTCTCCTACGGGGATCAATAAAGTATCTATCTATCTATTTGGGATACCCCTGTGGTGACAATCCGGGCCACCGAGGCTAGTTTGTTTGTGAAAACCCGTCTGACCGTGCCCTAAATGGCCATAGTAACACAGTAACACAGAAACTGAGTCAGACTCAGACTGAGGCTGGTTATGAAACAGAGGCTTTCACTTTTGAAAAGTTTGATACAAAAGATTTATTTTTGAGTCCAGGCCAGTGAGTCAGTATGAAACAACTTCCTTGGTTTAAATAAATAAGTATGTAAAGCATTTCATTATGTAAACTCATGACCACACATGAACATGCACCTCTTGTCTAAGTACGAACAGTACAGAACAGACCAGACATTTATAATTATAGGCTGTAATCTCAACAGACAAGTCTTGGCCGCTGTGTGTAGTAAATACTGTACTACATATTTCTCTGGGTCACATTCTTACAGCTATTTTTAATTAATTTTTAATAATGGCAGTTGTGTTTGACCACAGCCCCACTGTGGGATGCATTTAAAGTTATCTAATAATATTTATATGAATGAAGCAATAAAGCAATCACAGTCGCATAATGAGACGACAGATTTGTATTTTGATTCTCGATGATTGAAGACTTTATGAAACCAAACACAACGGAAGAGAATGACCACACACTTCCAAAACTCACAAACACACACACATTCACCCTGAACTATACCTGAATCAATCACGAATCCAAGCCTGATATTCTGAGTCGTAACCCCCACAGACGACTGAGGTCACGGCTCAATGGTTACTCTAAAAGTAGATCTGGGTTTGGGCTCTCCGGGTCTACAGCTGCTCTGAGCCTCACCCTACCACAGTACTGCATCTACGAGCATCAATGGACTGGAACGATTATGTAAGATCATGTCCAGTCATCATTAAAGGGCCCTAATCTGTCAAAAAGCATTAATAAAACCTGCTCTTTTCCAACACTTCTTTAACTGATAACTGTAGTTCAGAGATAATTGAATTTCTAAATTATTTTTCCAGCCTCTAAATCTTGTTATTGTTTTCATTTCGATGTCCCGCCCTCCACGGTTTCACCAATCAGAAAGTCTGTGATCCGGGCACCAGAACTCACTGTGTGGAGCTAATCTCACTGGTAAAGCACCATGTGGCCAGAACTAAAAAAGGTCTCGTTATGATTCTCAAATCATTAATGACAAAACAAGGAATAAAACCAGGATTTCTATCTTTGTGAAAAAGGTGTTGGTTATAGATTTGTTGTTGACAAAACTCTTGTCTATTCAGCTGTTATGGTCCCAGCTGGATTCATCTGCATATCTGGCAACCTGAGAGTGCCAGATATGCAGTACCACTTTTGGCCAGATTTGTATGTACTGCTCCTTTAAAGCTTGATCAACTTACATTCACAGTCTGGCTGTTATGTAAGGGTGTATTCTCCCTGAAGGTGACGCCATTGTAGTCCAAACTTACCTTTCCTTTCCTTTCCTTTCTTTTCTTTTCCTTTTCTTTCCTTGCATAAGTGAAATTATTAATGACAACTATGAACAACTTATCAAGAAGGCACAGATGCAAAAGATGAGTAAAAACCACACTTTCCAAAGTTTTGATTTCAATTCAATCCGTGCGTTTGACAATTCAAATATACTCGATATACTGTATAAAGGGCCGGGGGAAGATTATTATGATCTTGTGAAGAGAAAAAGTCTTCAGTCGTAAGGACCCAATCGTCTCCAAATTACAAAAATTAGGTTAGAAACCTAGGAGTAATCATGGACTCGGACCTCAATTTCAATAGTCACATTAAATCTGTAACATCAGCGGCTTTCTACCATCTCAAGAACATTGCTAGAATCAAGGGCATAATGTCTAAGGCAGACTTTGAGATTCTTATCCATGCATTTGTCTCCAGTAGGTTAGACTACTGCAATGGCCTGCTCACAGGTCTGTCCAAACAGGCTGTAAAACAGCTGCAGTACATTCAAAATGCAGCAGCCTGAGTCCTGACTAGAAGGCAAGGCAAGTTTATTTGTATAGCACAATTCATACACAAGTCAATTCAAAGTGCTGAACAAAATAAGAAAGCATTAAAATCATAAATAATCACAGAACATTAAAAAGAAAGATAAAAATATAAAATCCCTCAGTTGTAGCACAGCTAAACAGAACTGTCTT